GCATATGGAGCTGGCGCCCTACTCCTTTGAGCCACAGGTGCCACCCATATTCATCAAAGTTTTAATGGACCAAGATCTATCTAAATCCTGGAGGGACTGATGTGATTGACATACTAATTCATTGTTCCATGATTATCTATTGAGAGTTTACTATGTGTTGAGCTCAGCTCTGTTTTTTTGTTTTTAAACTGGGGTAAGAACAAATGCAAACTCATCAAGGAAGGAAGAGTTTTTTGTGTTTGAGCAATGAAAAGATGGCAAGTGTGGCTGCAGCCAAAATACTGAAGAAGAGAGTGTTAGGAGATGAAGGTGAAGAAAGAGCAGGGACCACGTCATGGAGGCCTTGAACACTGCAGTACAGGACAGGGTCTGAGTGCTAAGGACAAGGACCGGAGTGGGTGGGGCTGTGGCTAGTCCCTCTGCCTGGTTTGTGGACAATTCACTATCAGGACAAGATCTGAAGCAAGGAACTGAGAGTGTACTCCAGAGGTTTGGATGAAAGATGATGGTGGCTTGGACAAGAGGAAAGTTAATGGAGATGGGGTCAAGTCATCAGGTTTGGGGTATATTTTGAATGCCAAGCTGATCTGTAGGAGGAAGGGATAATAATTAATGATTTGAATGGAGTGGGAGGAGGTGTTATCAAAGAACAAGGGAGTCCATGCCAAAGATTCTGTTCTCAGTCACTGAGTGGAAAACAACGGTCATTTTCTCATATGGAGAAGATGAGGAAAAGAGTAGGTTGGAGAAATTAAAAAGCCTGTTTGGGCAGGTTAAATGGGAGATGCCTATTTAGATCTTCAAGTGGGCAGCTGGGTATGTAAGTCTGAGTTTCAGGGGCTTTGGGAGAAGATATGTAAATTTGTGAGCAATCAGTATGTAAATTATATTTAAAGCCATGAAACTTACAATTGACCAGGGCATGAGGGTAAATAAAAAAGAGGCCAAAGGACTGAGCAGGAGGTTTACCAACATTCCGGGGCAGGAAGAGATGAGAGGTGCAGAAAAGGTGGAGAGGCGTCTGCTGGTGAGGGGATAAAACCAGGGGATGTGCCATCCCAGCAGGAGAGGCATCTGCCAGTGAGGGGATAAAACCAGGGGATGTGCCACCCCTGCAGGAGAGGCGTCTGCCGGTGAGGGGATAAAACCAGGGGATATGCCATCGCAGAAAGCAAATCAAGACAGTGTTTTAAGAAGGGGAGTATTAGAACATGAAGAAACCTCCCAAGAGATCAGGATGAGGACTGAGAGACACTGAGCACTGGATGTGGTAATATGTGACCCATTCCCTTAAGGAGCTTGCAGCAGAGTGAGGGGTGGGAAAACAAGGAAACATATAAATCACTACACGATGGTGGAAGATGTAGCCTAGAGATGGAAACCAGTTTCTAGAGCTGGATTGATGATGGAGCAAGGAACTCTTCTTGAGAAGTCAAAGAAAACTAGGCAGAGAAGATGTCCTTTAGGATTCTGGTAGGTAGGGTGAAGGGATAAAATCAGGATTCATAAAACTTAAAACTTAAATTTTTTTTTCTAGTTGGCTGTTGTTTTTTGTCCACTCACTTATGCAGAACTAATATTCCCTTCCCAAGTTAACGTCGCACTACTATTATTCATATAGACATATTTGTTACTTGGCAACTCTCAATATTTTATGAAGACAGTACATATGCTCTGTCACACCCTACTCTCCTGGATTTGCATTGTATTTTTCCTTCTTGTACTCTTTATCTTTAATTATATCTTAGTTTCTTCCACAGTTTTGTGCAGTGTGGAGACTTTATGATGTGGTAGCTAATAACAGCTACCACCACGTCCCTAACTCTTATCACCTATGAGGTCTTGTCCTATGAACTTTACGTGCGTTAATTCATTTTGTTCTTGAAAAAGATTCCAACACATTTACTGAACCTGTTTTTCACTTGTGGTAACTGAGGCACAGAGAGGTTAAGTAACTTGCCCTGGGCCCCAGAGTAACTGCTAGAGCCAGTACTAGCACCCGGCTGTGTGGGTCGGAGCTCACCATCCATGAGCTCTGTGTGGGTCAAAGCTCACAGCACATGTTGTATTTCCATCCTCACTGACATATTTCTACTTTCCAGGGATGCCAGTTATTAGTGAAAAATCTTCTTCAGTATAGCCTTCTTCTGACTCAAAATTGCAAGGTCCTAAAGACTCAGTAACTCAATTGCGGAGCATCATTTTAGAGTGGGTCCATGGGACGCAGGAACTGGATGCTGGATCCAGACGGAGAAAGGACGTTAGTGGTAGATTCTCAAGTGACAGCCTACAGATTGGTATCCGACCAGGTCACATCCAGGAGGGTAGTGGTAAAAAGAGCTCCAGTTTTTGTGGTGGAAGAGAGGAGAAGGTCCCTCCAGTTATGGAAATGGTCACTTGGTTAACGATCCCAGATGCATGTGGCTGTGTTTTCATTTCCCTTTTTACCTCACAGAAAGCGAGTGAGATGATTATACACATAAAGAGGCACAAAGTGTAAATCAAAGCAGCTCAGGGTGCGAACAGCAATGCTGTGAGTATGTCTGCTGTGATTTCTTGGGAGCTAAAATAACACACTGGCCAAAATCTTTAAAGTGCTTTAATGCTTAAACAATATCAAGCATGGGCACGGGGAACAGTATTTGGGTGACGGGCACACTTTTAGCCAGGACTCCAGCATAACAACAGTGATCCATGGGACCTAAAACTCTTTACCCCTTACTATTGTGAAATAAAGAAATAGCAGGCATGCACATAATTGAAATAGAACATAACTCGAGCCCAGTGGAGTCTGGCTGTGGCTCAGTCTTTGTTTGATCTCTGACGTGTTTTCTTTTAACCGGCTGACTTTATCTCTAAATATGGCTTTATCCCCTTTCTTCCTGACACCATGCTGTAATTGGTTCACCCAACATATGAGAACTTGGACATGTGATTTTCATGAGCATCTGAGGCCTGTTCCTTTAGTAGATTTCAGGTTCTACCTTTGACTTACAAGTTTTTGAAATAAAGAATAGCTTCTTTCCCTTCCTTGGTAGAAAGAAGGTACAGAGTAAATAACTTACGCTAAGATGTTTTCAGGATAAGAATCTGAGTAACTGCAGGGGTATCTTTGAAAATAATGAGAGTAAATTTTAAATGTCTTATCACAAAAAGTAAGTGAGGTGATGGCAGTGTTAATCAGTTTGATTTAAGTATTCCACATTTATATCAAATAATCACATTGTACCCCATAAATGCACACAGTTATGATTTTAACTAAAAATTTATATATATATGTGTATATCTATGAAGTTACTCTTAGTAACTTCCTCAAAGCACAGACCCACAAATTTTAGAATTATTTTTTTCTTGAGACAGACATCAACCTGTTCTCTTTATTCTATTCTCATTAAAATGTTCTTCTCTGGACATAGTCATTACATTTTCAGTAAAGCTTAAGGAAGCCAGCATTAAAATTTGCCCTTAATTACTACAAATACAGAAAAACCTGCTGGGAAAGGCATGCTATATTCACCATGGCGCTCTTCCTGTTTGCTATAATACTGTCATAAATCATGTACAGGGAGGAGGAAGCAGAGACTTAGGTGATGCTTTGGCTCTGGAAAAGAAGCTACTTCCTCTGGAAGGAGGGTTTCAAACGGCCACATAGCAAAGCAAACACTCACCCTGGTTTCCTGAGGGCCATTTCCCCTTTGCTAAGCCTGTCCCAAAGCCAAGGTGAAGGACGAGGAATTTTCCTCTTACAAAATCTCAAATCTCTGATAACTCACGATGCCAATCACCACGTTCCAGAAAGTTATAAAATTTAGGGTATCGTAAGCTTGTAGAATTTCATCAGCTTGCATTAGATGAGCTTAGTAAGATTTGTTTTGGAAAGTAAGAGAAAAAGTAAGAATCGAAGTGGAAAGATTTAGGTAATGCATCACACTGACAAGTATACTCACAGACTTTAGAACACTCACAAAATCAAGGGCCAGGGAAAGAATTAAGTTGCAGCTACAGTACCTTAACTGTTACACTTTCAAACATTTCACACTCGTTTTGTCCTTTCAGGGCATACTTTAAAATGATTCAGATTTTATTTGTATTTATAGTTTTACTTTTAAGATATATTAATTAGAAATGTTGCTGTTGGTGTGTGACACACCTTTGGGGGGCAGAACGCAATTGTTAAGAGGGACTTTACCTAACAAATGCAATCAGTGTAATCTGGTTTCTTGTACCCTCAATGAATCCCCAGCAATTAAAAAAAAAAAAAAAAGAAATGCCAGTGTTAACCCCAAATACAGTTTGACTAATACTTTTACTATTTCCCTCTCTCATCTATGGCCCCAGGAAAAGAATAACATCACAGCACCAATAGTTATAGGAAAAAACCAATTTTTAAAAAAATTAATCTTAGCATTTTCATGTAGGAATCATATGCGGTGAGTTCTGAAAAGCAGCAAGACTATCTCATTTCTGTGTGCCTAGTGGAGATTTTGTTTTTTGTTAGTAAAGAATTGTGATGCAATTACCCTGCATTTAAAAATGTTCACGATAAAAAGTTAATGACATTCAGGGCGATGGTGAGTAAACTCTCTTGCCCCCAAATCTAGAGAGCAGTCAGGATACTTTCCCAGTGTTAATGAGTTGCTTTAAGGAAGGGAGAGGGGTTATTATACAAACTGGTGCCCAGACTGCTCTTCCCACAATCCCAGCCAAGCCCTGGGTTGTGTGTTATATTCCAAGCCCCCCGTTCCTGCTCCGGCATCGCCTCCCGCCCGGCTCCTCGGGGTGCAGAGGCTCCCCGGGTGCAGAGGCTCCCCAGGTGCAGAGGCTCCCCCGGGGTGCAGAGGCTCCCCTCCCTGTGCAGAGGCTCCCCGGGTACAGAGGCTCCCCGGGTACAGAGGCTCCCCCGGGGTGCAGAGGCTCCCCTCCCTGTGCAGAGGCTCCCCAGGTGCAGAGGCCCCCCTTGGTGCAGAGGCTCCCCGGGTGCAGAGCTCCCCTCTCCTTACCGGCGTAGTGGTCGAACACTGTGGGCACGTACTCCTCCGGGAAGGCGTCGTTGGCGTAGCTCATCAGCAGGCAGGTTTTCCCCACGGCGCCGTCCCCGACCACCACGCACTTGAGCATCTTCTTGTCGTCGTGGCCCCCGCAGCCGCAGCTGCTGTCCGTCCCCTCCTTGCAGTCCATGCTGGGGGCCCCGGCTGCCCAGACGCCGGCTGCTGCTTCTCCCCTTCTCCCGCGGTTCCACAGCACATGAAGGGGGAGCAGGGCCGGCCGGAGCTCACTCGGCCTCACCTCGGGCAACTTGGCTCACACCGGCACGTCCAGGCTTGGGACGGGCCCGTCGCTGACCATACTGGTGAGGAAAGGTGACCCACACTGGGAGGAATTCCGGGAGGGGTCCTGCTCTTCCCCTCAGTCAGCTCTGAGTTAAGAGACCCTCATTTTCACAGGATCCTCGGGGCTTCCTGGCAGTGTAGAAATTTCAGCAGTCTGAGGGTTTTTCTCTGCTCTCTCCCCCTTTCCAGCCTGACTGAGGGTGGAATTTTGCTAAATCTTCCCCATTTTCCAGTTCACATCTAACATGGAGGAAAGCTGGGCTTTCTAATGGAGGTTTCTCCCCTGGCTTCCTCCAGCCTGCGGAGTGTCAGGAAATCATGGGTTTCCTGCTGCATTCCATATTAGGACCAGTGGGCTGGGAAGGCTGCGGAGGCTGCAACAATGGGAACTCTGTGCGTGTGTTTGTACTTGTGGGGCACGATGCCAGGACCTGCAGTGGGAACGCGCTGGGGGTCCCCGCTGCGCAGCGAGCTGTCAGACTTCCTGTCTCATCTGCTGCCCCGGGCTGTTTGCTCCTGGCTGGCTGAGGACAGGCTGGAAACCAGGGAGGACTGCTCAGCGCACAAACAGGGACCGGTCTGAGCGAGCAGAGAACCCCCCAGCCATCAGGATAACTCATGACATCAGCCTCACTGAGTCACCAGTCAAAAGTTCTGCAAGTTAAAAACCAACAGTTCTTTCCTCAAGTCAGAAACTTTAAGTGATTCTTTCCTGCAGTGAAGAAGAAAACTGTCTCCAGGGAATATATTTTTAGGTCGTAGGGATAGTGTGTGTGACCAGGTTTTTATAGGTGACTACATTTCAGTGTAACACTCAAGTATGTATTCCAGACCCAAACATTTTTTATGGCTGTCGCCCATAAGAAATCAATCAGATGGGGGCCGTTGGCGTTTCTCTTCTTAGTGAATCAACACACATGTGCTTGGCTCGGACTTAACACCCTTGGAAATGAGAGGGTGTGGGACAGTTTTCTGGCTTGTTTAAGGTCCTCAAGGCTCTTTTTGCCTGGATGGTTCCCTTTTTGATTTTGTCCCCTCCCCTTGGGTCAGCCTGGCTCCTTTCAGTTACAGAGGAGCCACGGGCAGCTGATTTATTTGTCTGTTGGGTCACTCAAAATGCAGCCTCTTTGAAGCTCTGCATTTGATTAATGTACTTGGTCTTAGAAAAGAAGTGGAACTCTGCAAATGATTTTTGACAAAAGGGTGAAAATGGGAGAACTCTGTTTTCTTTTTATTTCTTTTTTTGAACATTGATTTTGAAGAATTCAGATTTTCGGATTGCTTTGAGTTTTTTGGGGGGGAGTGAGGAGGTAGAATTCTGTTTTATTAATACTAAGTGGTTATCAACAATATACATATATCCACATATCCTATATATGTGTCACTATATAATAACTATAGTTCCAAATTCATTCTGTTTGGATTATAGTAACATTAACTATAGGGCTCAGGGTCCCAGTAGTTCTTTCCTATGAGGTGGTGATGTTTTTAGTCAGGTTGTGGTGTATCAGTGAGGTTATGTTTCAGTAACGAACATCCCCCAAACTCAATGATTTAAAATATGTATATTTCTTGCTCACATTGTATCTATATTGAGAACTGTGTTGTCATCTTTGTTAGGGGATCTAGGCTGATAGAGTAATCAGGCTGAGAACATGGCTGATCCCTGTGGCAGAGGAAGACACAAGCACAGTCCCTGACCCTCAAAGCTCCTTCCTGGGGTGGTACTTCTGTTTAAACTTATTGGCCAAAGGAAGTCACCTGCCCTTGCTAACAGGAAGGTCAGAAAGAAAGGAACAAAACATTGGTCAACGGCATGACTGACAACCAGAGGTAGCTTAGTGGAGGTGACATTTGCAATATGGAAGATGAAGGTGAATCATTTATAATTAGTGCCATTCTGTAGTATTTGCAGACGTCTGTAATTGTGTGTGTTTATATAATTTTACTCTTATTTAGTCTACCTGGAACACCTAGATTATGCCATAATAGAATTGCAATTTGAAAACTTAACGTTATATTTCTAGAAAAAGGGCTTGAGTACGAAGGTGGCAGCCAGACACATCTCTGCAGGTGAAAGAGTGATTGGCAGTTTTAAGAACCTCTTCCTGACTATGGAGAAGACCACTCGGAGCGCAGTGAGCAGACTGGGATGAGGCCAGTCTGGCAGAACCTGGGCGGGGTTCTTCCTTTGACCTCATTCCTGAGATTGGGCAGTAAATGTGGCGTGGTACTTGGTTCACAGAGTCCTAAAACATCCTGTCCAGCCCGGGAAACTGGAATCCTGTGTTTCTATACTATAAATATGCCCTGGCTTAAGAAAAATTTGATAAATTGGATTAAGGAAACATTTTTACATTTCTATATAACCTGAATCTTATAGCATCAGACTGATACTTCAGATCATTGATAGTACTATGTGGACTATGAATTGAGATGTTCGAGGGGCTTGAAGCACCTAGTGATGGGACCTTGACCTCTAACACGGCGCTGCCTCTGCCAGACTGGATTGTATGCTAAGATGGGTTACGGCCATTGAGAACGCTGGCTCTATTTTCCCAAACAAACTCTATTACTCTCCTACAAATTAAATATTTATGGAGAGAACTCTGGAGACAACCTATTGAAACAATGAAACTGTTAAAATCTTAGTAGCTCGGCTTGCAGATTAGTGGTTCACATTGTCCATATGAGGATACATCTTTTTAAATATTAAAAATTGACCTGAAAATAAGAGAATCTTAAAAAAACGTAAAGCTAATCCAGCACTGTCCTCACACGTCCCATGAGTCTCCAGAATTATTACCTACCCAGTAGAATGGTCGAGAATACACTTCAGTTCCAAAGTGGGATGAAGACTGTTTGCTAAAATGTTCTTTACCAGCTGTTTGTGGTTTTGGCTCCTGGGCCCTGTACGTGACAGAGTGGTACTTACATAGCCATTAATCACTTGGTTTACCTCAAGCACCAAGTTTACACAAATTTACCAGAATGTGGTGAAATCTGACTGGGTGATGTTTTCTGCTTTTTCCAGGAGATTTTATTTCTGTCTCTCTCTCTTGTTTTCTGAACTCTGGCTTCAAATAAATTTCCCCAAATGCCAATAGGGCTTTTGTGCATAACATTCTGACTCTTGGTCAGAATTCCATTTTTATTGTGACTTTAATAAAAGAACCATTTTCCCCCCTTTTCTCTTTTTGCTTTCTTTTCCTTTCTTCTCTTTCTCCTGTTATTTTCTTTTCTTTCTTAAAACTAGAAGTTACGTAGGGAAGTAATGCAATTGGATCAGATACTCTGATTCTGTGTATTCTGGAGTTTTGACTCCAGTCTGAGGAATGTGAGACGTGCTGTGATTCCACTGATTCCAGCTTGCCAGCCTAGTCCTTCTGGCTGCAGTATAGAGAAAGCCCTTTTGGGAACTAATGTGAAAGTCTGGCCTCTCCTGGTGGTGGTATGATGAGAGTCAGAAGGGGCCATGTAGTTCTGGGATCCTGACCCACATCTCTCTCTGGCCTAAACTTCAAGATCAATTAAGGCATTGCTGAAACTTAGCAGGCTGTCCTGGAACTGATCTGGACTGGACCTGCTCCTCCTTTGGAGAAGGGTGCGTCATCACCACCAAGAGGCTTGTGTACTGCAGTTTCATCTCTGAGGACACCCGGCTCAGCCTCTGGCATCTGCCCATGTCAAATCATGCCGCTTACCCTACATCACATCACATCACATCACATCACATCAGGTCATGTCAGCCACATGTTCTTGGACATGATCTGATCTTTTTATAATTCCAGGAATGGAAGGTTTTTCTTTTTTTTTTTTTTTTTTTTTTTGCTTAGAGGGCTTCTCTTTCTTCCCCCAAATCTCTTAATTATGAAAGAAATAGGCAAATCACAGGCAGATGAAACTTCTTTCTGTCACAAGAAAGAAGAGGCTGATTTGGTCAGTAGAGACAGCGGGTGCTGCCTGCACGGTATTTCATGATTGTGTGTTTTAACTTTGAACCCGCTGAGCCCCGTCTCAGAGGAAGAGCATTCTGTGGGTTATCTGACTGTTTCTGGTCTCCCCCTATGGAAACCAGGAAATTAGAGGCTTTCAAGTTTCCCCCATCTAGAAAATCTGGAGATAGATAATTTTTAAAGAACTGTCCCATTGATTCCTGCCCTTCCAGACTGGCAGAGAATGTTTTAGAAGGTAGGAATGTTTGGCCTTGAGGTGTGTCGTTCCTCCATTGAAGTCACAGAGCAGGGAACGGCTTGTGGAAACAGCTACCTTGTAGTCAAACAAGGATCTGTGGGGACTTCCTCGAGTTAGTGATAGTCAAATGCATCCAGGAAGGCTAAAGCCATTGGATTGGTCATTGTCTGGGTGGGCAAGCGTCACGATGTCACTGCCACAGGTGGAACCCTGTGGGCTCAGGGCCATGTCATGACTTGTTCCTTTTTGTGTGTAGGATCTATTGAGGAAGATTGGTGGAAATCTTCCACTTCTAAGAAACAAGTCAAACCTTGCCCTCTCCTTAGGATGCATTGGTAGCATCAATGTCATAAAAAATTTATACATAGACTGAAGCCTTGATGGCCTCCCAGCAGTACCTGGGGACATGGTACTCTGTTGCATGCCAGGAGGCATTTTGATTATTGAGACTGTATCAAATACAAGTTTTCCTGAGAGCATGTGGGTTACTGACCAACCCCTCATTGGTGAAACACTGAATGCAGAGGGAAATTCATCCCACTGTGTGGACTGGATGTGTCTGGTCAGTCTTTCTGAATAGCTCCTGTGCGATTTCTAGATTTTATATCTAGAAATCACTTGTATCAGAAGAGAGTCACAAAGACTGCCAGGGCTTAAATGAGATCAGGGCTCAAATTTCAGGAGTGCTTGTGTATCATACATACCTAAGGAAAGATCTAGGAGCTGATCCTCAGTGGGATAAGTGAAACAAACAGTTCAGGGAAAGTAACACCCCCACTCAGATCTGTTAAGATCCCCAGGACAAAAGGGGGATGAGACTTAAAGTCTCCCAAGATCTAAACCCCATGGCTGTGGACAGAGGGTAGATGGAACCATTGTGTGAAAGGACCCTTGGCCTTCAGGGTTCGTGCTGCGGAAAAGTCTCCTCCCTTATTGTCAAGATGGAGAGAATTCTTGCTAAGTACTTATTTTCCAGACAGTTTTGTGAAATTTCCTTTATTTTCAGTTGTTTTTCTATTCACTATTGTGCTGATCTATTAAAGACA